TAAGTAGCTCATAAGTCAATCACCAATTTTCAGCTTTTCTCATAGGTAGTCCTTTAATTGTTCACCTGGAAACAGAGGATTGTTTATCCTGTCCACTTTGGATCACCAGTCAGGGCTCCAGAGTGCGACCAAAAAAATAATTGGTCGCACCACTGCGACCAACTGTTCGGGTAACAAAAAAAAAAATCTGCAACTCTCCGTGTGGTCAACAACAGACACACATTATGCCCCTATTGTGGACTAAACCAATCAGAGATAGTCAGGGGCGGGACCTCTCTGATTGGCCGTGGTCCAGTTGAAAGTGCAGGTGGAAGTGGGAGGTGAGTAGCTTGAATAAAGCGATATTGATTCATTATATCCTGAATCGACTTTTAAATCTAAATGTGTTTTACCAGAAACGCCAGATTCTCAGATTAAAGCTCACAAAACTATTTCTACAACCACCAAACAGCAAATGAGAGCAGGTACACGGATTCCACACAAAGACGTAAACACAGACCTGACCCGACGCATCAGAATCAGCTTTCTCTTTCTCGGCTTTCTCACCCGACGGCCCGTAGACGGATACGTTGTCGGAGCTCAACGATCCTGATGCGTCCGGTCCGCTCTGTGTTTGTCTTTTTGCGCTGATTCTGAGCTGCAGGTTTTGTCTCTCTCCAACCAAACTTCACCGAGCCAGCAGCAAAAGAAGCAGCAAAAGAAGCAGCAAACTGCGCTTCACATTTGATCGATGTCGTCATGAATTTTGCTGTTTTGCTTCCACCACGATAAAAATCACACTTCATGCACAGCTCTCTCTCTCTCAGTTACTTTCACACAAAGGCGTCTGCTGTGATGTTCACAATTCTGATGAAGTCTCACATGTATCAGTACTGATAAATGATCAGAATTAGAATATTTCTGACTGTCTGAGGCTAAATTGAATAGAATCAGGACTTTGAGAACCGGAATCGAATGGATTATAGAAATCAGTGATGATACCCAGCCCTAATGAGCAGCCTAGGCCTGACAGAAGTGGATGTAGCTGTGGGTAATAAGAAAAGATGGAAAGAAAGCACTTTAAGCACAAGATTGTTAGTTAATAGTTTAGAAATGAATGTGGTCAGTATGGACTGCAATTTCCCCCCCAAAAAAGTGCACATGTAAAACTGAAGCGATGCGGTTGAAAAATTTGAGTGCGCCTAACTTTTTAAAGGTGCGCACCGGTGCACCCATGGCAAAAAGTTAGTCTAGGGCTCTGCCAGTGGTTATTTTGCCCATAATTGCCTGCAGTTGCTTGTAACACACACACCTCCCACCTCAGGTCTCAGCACGTCTTTTATCGGGAGCCATGGCTAGATGATGGAGCTCAGGTGTGTGTCAGACTCCCCTGACAGGCACCCTGAACCCGCTGCTCCACCCCTCCCCTGCGGCTGAGCCACAAACCACACCCTGCCGCACTCACATTTTTTCAGCTTATTGAAACCAAAGATTTCGGCCATTTCTGCTTCACTTCTATTTTTAAAGATAATAAAATACATCATTTTAGTATGTAATGCTTAAAGGTCAAAGGTCAGACATCAGTGTGTTGTTATAAAAGCAGGGTAATATTATAATTATGAGGGCATATTGTAATAAAATAAAATAAATACATGGCTGGCTGCTTCATGTCAAATTTCCATGGGGAAGATACTAAGTTGCTCTCTGATGCATTGTAATAAAAACATAAAGCATCACAGATGTATTACAGCCCTCGCTCTTCGAGGGGAGTTGCGCTGTCAGAGTGCTTTTGTTTCCTCTGTCTTATTGTAGCGCCTCTGCCTTACAGAATAATGCCCCCTTAAAGCGACTGCTGTTGTGATTTGAAGCTATACAAATAATAATGTGTGAATAAAAAAAGTGAATTGCATTCATTTCCTAATTCTATGTGTTTAAATGCAGCTGCTGGAGCTAACTGAAAACTACACACCAGAGGTATCTGAATACAAGGTGAGGGTAGTCAGTTGTGATGACCTAATCACAACCTTGGAATGATGTTACTAATAAAAGCTTATTTAATAATATCTAATATGGTATAAACTGTCATTCGTACTCTATGACCAACTGTGGTTCTGTTTATATTAGGAGGGAAAGATTGTGAGTTTTGACCCAATCAACAGACAGATTGAACTTGAACTCCTTAATGTCTCTCAAGGTAGGAGATCAGTTCACCGCTGGCATACAATATCATAACTGTGTATAATCATGCCTTTTTAAAAAATAATGTATCATGTAAGTAATTATATCAAAATTTAAAAGACGTCTCCTGATGTCTTTGAATTGTCAGCACCTAATTAAACTGGTCATGTCACTGGTAATGATATATGATACGTTACAGCGAAAACCTTTTCATTTTCAGAGAACTGAACACTTTCTCAGAAGAAGTTAAGAGATTTAAGAATTAACCTTCCTAATTTATTTCTGTTTCTAATGATTCCTAACTTGTTGCTTCTTCCAAAGCTTCCGGAGAACCTGGAAAATTTGATCTAGTCTATCAAAATCCAGATGGCTCCGAGAGGGTGGAGTATGCTGTGTCCAGAGGGTCTTGGGTAAGACTTTATATGCTGTTAATAACCCTCTGAAGCCACAGGTAGTGTAAAAGTAAAGCCAGTGTGGGTGTGCTTTAAATCTGCTGTTTTTTAATGGAGCTGGTCACAAAGTGCACAGCAGATTTATCAGAGCTACTTGAGTCAATCTGCTGCTGCTGAATGTGACACTGATAAGAGCAAAATAAAACCATGAGATAAGAGGCTAAATATATATGTATGGATGCTGAGTAGGGTGATAATTCTGTGGGTGTGACCCTTTATCAACCTTTTTACATTACATACATTAGTCAGGGGTGTCAAACTCAAATACACAGTGGGCCAAAATTCAAAACTGGAACAAAGTCGCGGGCTAACGTTAATATTTATTGAAATATATTTATTCCTCCAGATATAAGAATGAATCTTTTCTTATGGACTCAAACAAGCAAAGCTTAATACTAAACAATATATATATTAGCTGTATAATACCAGTAGGCCAGCTCTAATAGTAATTTGGTATGGCTTCACGGGCCAAATGTAATTAGGCTGCGGGCCAAATTTGGCCCGCGGGCCAGAGTTTGACACCGATGCATTAGGTCATGTTACTTTATTATTTATTATTTAATAAATAAATTATTATCCCCCCCCCCATAAGGTGTGATTGTTTTAGACATTTCTCTTTTTTCATGAGTTAACAGGACCACATATCACTCGTCTTAGCTGCCAGTCAGTTTGAGATTGATTTTAAGGTTTTACTGTTTGTTTTTAAGCCTTTGAATGGGTAAGTGCTGTTTCGGTTTTTGTAAAGCCTTTACACTCCGAATAGATCAAAATCAGAATACTTTATTAATCCCTGTGAAAATTATGTGGTTACAAGTTTTATTTTCGACCCTCTGGATTGAAACGTGGGTCGCTGGTTTCCTGGTCCTCCTCAAGTCCACAATCATTTCTTTGGTCTTTGTCACGTTGAGCTGCAGATGATTCTGCAGCTCCACAGCCCAGTACTCTGTCTCATTGCCCCCACTGATGCATCCAGCTACCATCCTACAACCATCATCTGAAGATGGCAGGTCTCTGTGCCGTGGCTGAAGTCTGCGGTGTAGAAGGGGAATAGGAAAGCGGAGAGCACAGTCCCTTGTGGTGCTCCAGTGTTGTCAGACTCGGACACAGTGCTTGCCCGCTGGTCTACATCATCGTAGACACGATTGAATTTATTGTCTTGCATTGTTCTGTTCTCTTAGCTGCACAGCTCTTATTTTTAATTGTGCTGTATAAATAAATCTGACTTGACTAGTCCTTAAATTAACATGTTCACTTTCTTCTCATAGGTGACAGAACGGTGGGAGTCTCTGCTGGAGCCAAGACTCATCATTTAAGTTTGAGAGAAATAGTGAATTCATACGCCCACATAGTTCTTTTTTTAATGACCTGGACTTATCGTTTAAAAGCTAAAACATCCAATGGTTTTGATTCTGGTCCATTTAAACTTTATCTGTGCTTCTCTGTTAGCACATTTTTAACAGCTCTGTTTAAACTGGGTTTAGAGATGAAATGGTTTTTATGCTTAAATCAGCTGAAGGGATGAGTAATGATTTTGAGCACTGGGCCACACTGTAATGGTTTTATTTTTTGTACAGAGATGTGACTGTGATAGGTCTTGTATAAACTGTTTTTTCCAATAAAAAAAACTGCATCCTCAGCCACATCCTCAGGGCAAAATTTTAGTGTGTTATCAACAAAATAATATTTTGCATATTCATTATCTGACTGTTTTATTTTGTAACAAAAAGACCTTGCTCAGAATTGATTTTGAAAAAGTGTTTAACCTAAAATGTAATTATGCTGATAATTAACAAAACACACACTTTTCAACTTTAACTGTTGTGATTTTCTTTTTTCCCTCAAATCCAGCACTTAAACGATTATTGTGTTTTCACTGACTGTTGTCATTTTGTTCTCAACAAATTACCTAATGTACGTCAGTGAAGGTTTTCAAGGTGAACATTTCATTCATCTAGATCCAACCGGTGATTTATGTGTTCCTTTAATTTTTTGAGCAGTATTTGTCCGCTTGAAATATTACCGTTTCCAAATAATACATTAATTCTTAAGTTTTCTTATTCAGTTTTCTGGAAGTCAGTCATATACTAAAAATTCTTTTTACGACGTGGTTAGTTCAGAGTTCAGTTATAGTAGCTAACATTTATGTTAATTTGTACTATTTATACTAATTTTATGTTTAAATTAAGTCGACTTTTTTGTTTCCCAATGTTAATTAAATATTCTTATTGCTTAGTTTTCATGTGGTAGACTAAATAGTCTTACATGGTATGATTGAGTATTTCAATCTTGTGTGTCATATAGTTCTTTTATTATTGGCCAAACTGGGCTTCCATACATTTTATACATTGTCGTCAAAAGCGGGAGGAAAGTGACAGCACACCTGGATTATGAATTAGCAACTGGCCTGTGACGTAATGCCTCGTGACGAACTCGTAAGTCGTCGCGTATTTCCGACACTCCTCGCGCCTCTTGAGCGTGCCGTGCTGCTTGTATAACAGTAGCGGTACCAGTCGGTCCGGCGGAGCTGAAGGCTGGGATGGTGATGGCGACCGTCGGAGTCGGTGTCTTACAGTCCGTTTGATTGAGGAAAACCAGAATATAAGCTGTGTGTGTGTGCAGCACGAAGCCTGTATAATGGAAGGACGTGCCTTTCCCGAACAAGAACAGCTCCTACAGTTTTTGAGGAGGCTCAAGGAGGTTTTCGACGTCTGTGACGAGGATGCTGACGGCTTCATCCGGGTGGAGCACTTGATGGACCTCGGTCTTCAATTCGGTCAAGGAGACGAGGTGAGAGGCTGGAAGGGACTGGGTAACAAAGGACAAATAGCACATCTGCATTCATATTCGTATAATGTTTCCAATATGGTGAATCTGTAATACGTGGAGCTTTTAACAACAGACAACCTGTCCTGCTTATTAACAGTCACAGGTGTGTTAGAGGTGCCAGCAGCTTATTCGCTGCGGTATGACATAGGACAGGCTACAGGAGACTTGACATCCTCGGTGGTGGCTGACATGCTTTGTCCTGCGTTTCCCATTCACTTAAACTGTTCCAGCCTCACAACATTAGGAAAGCTGAAGACTGACGACAATGGGGGCATTGCAGCCTCTGTAAAATCAGAAAGCCTAATAATGCAGCTTTACTGCTTGTAGCTACACTTTTATCAATGATGAAGGTCTTCTGTAATCCCCCCTGCCCAATAGGGGTTAACTAATACATCAGTCTCAGTGGCTGTATAAAGTCAGTGCGGGAAAAAACAATTCTGAAATCTGATTTTTGCAGCATCATAAAATACATTGTTTAATACAGGTGCTCTGATTTTGTCAGGATAAGAAGCATGTTTGGCTATTTTAAAAACATAGTATTGTACAATATTGTAATATTATCCTAGATACTGACTGTACTAATAGAAGAAAGTGGGCAAATGCAGGATCCTGAGCAGTGCTTTGTTCTCCAGTCTGAATGTTTAGACTGGAGTGAAGAATTTCATTTGTCATTTAAACCTTGGTAAGAAACATACAAAGTGAAATGGCTTTACATTCTGTGTGCAAGATCAGATATCAGCGTGTTTGTGTTGTTCCTAAAACACTGTGATAAATGTCGCCCTGAAACCTTCACTGCAGCTAAACAGTTTGTCCACACCTGAGCGTGTTTAAGGGGATTATGCCAGAAGGCCGAGCCACACGTAGATTTCCACACATAGTTACCGTGATTAACCATCGATGAGCCTTGCTTCAGTGGTCAGAGTTGATCCTGGAGATGCACCATATCTTTGTCATGCTTCTGACCCGTTGAGCTGTCAGGGAGCAGCTAATGAAAAATGTGATGCTATGTAACATTTTATTACAGCCCCAAATATGTGAAGTGATGTAGTATTTTATCAAAGAGTATTTAATATTTTCTGCAGCAGAATTATATAATTTTCCATATTGGATGATGATTTTTGTGTGCCATGATAATAACCCCAAGCAGGGCTATAGTCCCGAACCAGGGACCTAACTATATATATATATATATACACACACACACACACAGAGTAGATCTTCAATTTATTTAGAAATATGCTTGTTGTTGTTCAGGTTTGCATAAATAAGAAAGCTATATAAATAATAACTGATGACTTTAAGTGGGCTTAGTCTGCAAGTGTTTCCAGTCCTTTGCTGATTGAGTTTACATATTTGAAAAGGTGGAGTGATGTCTGCTTGTGACTGTGGAGTTTGCTTTAAAGTGCAACAGTGGCTGAAAACCCAGGACACATCACTAAAAATAGCTCAGCCATGCTAAAATGAAGCTACTTCCTCATGTCGCTCCTCCCCTCGTGCACTTCCACTCGTCTCTGTGCTTTGTCTCCATGGGAACGGGAGCTTCACTAGATCTCCGCAAGTGGATTGGTTGATTATTAAGTAATTAAATGATCTGCTCAGCTGCTCAAAACAACTCAGGAGAACACCAGCAGCTCCGCATTTCTGTTTGTTCCAGCAGCGTCTGTGGATCGTGGGTTATACACACATCTTGTATTATTTCATCATATTTTTGAAGACATATTTCTGTATGTTTTGTGTAGAAATTTACTGCTAAAGATGTACATTTTTATATTTTATCATCTAAAATAAACAAATCCTATTGTGCTCATTTCGACCATACACCTGCATGCCTCTTTATTAGGTATACCTCGTTACTACTGGGTTGGATGTCATTTTGCCTTCAGAACTCCCGTAATCCTGCATGGCATAGAATTATCAAGGTGCAGGAAACTACATGTTGACATGATAATATCACACAGTTGCTACAGATCCCCTATTCCACCCCATCCCACGCTCTATTGGACTGATATCTGGTGACGGTGTAGGCCATTTAAGTGCAATAAACTCCCTGTCATGTTCAAGAAACCAGTTTGAAATTTGTGACTTGTGTTACATTCTGCTGCTCATAAGAGTTGTTGCTGCACATGATCAGCAACAACTCTCAGGTACAATGTAGGATTTATGCTCAGTTGCTACTAAATGGCCCAAAGTGTCATAAGAAAATATTCCCACACTATTAAACTACCAATACCAACCTGAAGGCAGTGCAGGATGGATCCATGCTTTCATGTTGTTTATACAAAATTATGAGCCTACAATCTGAACGTCACGATTCGACCAGGCAATATTCTTATGATCTTCTGCTGTCCAGTTTTGGTGAGTCTGTGTGAACCGTATCCAGACTTTCCTGTTCTTAGCTGGCAGGACTCAGGCCATCTGGCACAAACAACCCTGTATGTTTGGAATCACTTAAATCACATTGCTTTCCCATTGTGGTACTCGATTAGGACTTAAGCAGGCTGTCTTTATCACATGTCTAAACACATTGAACTGCTGCCGTTCGATCTGATCAGATTATTTGCATTGATGTTCAGTTTGAACAGCTGTATCTAAGTGGCTGGTGAGTGTATGTGCATGCAACACTAATGTAGCTTTTTCATTGATCTGCTTCTGACCATAGATAATATAAAGGAGAATGTACCTATAGTAACACCCAGAGACACTAACAGCATAGAGATGAGCATTTCTGTCATCGCCACTTTGGTCTTTGAAAAATAGACGTGATGAGTGAGAGATCGGCCGTAGTAAGATTATGCATGCTTTGGTTAATGATATGTAATTGAATATACTCCAGTTATCCTCTTTTTGACAATTAGAATGATCAGAATTTACAAAATGAACTTCATGTTTTATTCAGCATGACCCAAAACGATTGGTTTATTCTTTTCAATGCAATATGTGAAAAACATGCTCATTTTAATACATAGGCCACCAATACTTCATTGCTGTTGATTTCTTTTTATACATACGAAAACACCTGATATCTTTTCATCTATGTCCACTCAACATGGCAGACTAAACTATTCATCACTTTAATGTGGACACGGCCAACTGGGATCTGGTGAGCTCTCTATTCTATATTTAGACGTTACTTTCTTCCCTCCTCTCACTGTTCCCTGAAGCGTTGCACATTTCATGTTAAGTAGATGGACACCACTATGTGAAACAAGTGCGACATTTATTAGCACAGAATCCCTCTTGTCGCAGTCGCTGGGTCTAATACGTTTCCTGGCTGAAAGCCTGACACTGAATCATTGTTGTTTTCCCCTTTGGCAGAATTATCTTCTCACTGTATGGTAAAAACAATTTTCAGACCAATTGGAAAGGTCTACCGCTGATGTACTGTGTTGTTAAATGTTTGTGAAACACAAAATCTGAGATATGAGAGCCGGCTGGCAAAGAGCACTCCACTCAGAGCTTTTATTTGGGGAAATTAAAAGCAGCATCCATAAACGTAATATGAATCCTTTTAGTTTATTAGCTTCTTGTACTTTTCTTTAGCCATTGAATACAATACTACATTTTATAGTCTTTGTAAAAACATGATATGAAATGTTTCAGCACTCTGAGCTGTATATTTCCATTTTCATCTCTCTTACTTCTTTATATTTTGCACGTTTGCACAATTTTTATGTACCCTGTAGTACTGTATGAAGGTACACGAATGAAAACTTATCTTTGTAAGGTACAGGAAGCGAAGCTAAAAGCGCCCCTAGTAGCAGCGCCCCTCTGTACCTAGTGACAGATTGAGGTACCTGTATAAGTACAAAGAGGTGCTATATTTGTGTGGACTTGGTTCCCCAGTAGCCTCTCGTTGTCTTCCTTTGTTCTTGTTATTAGTTTGAGCTTGCAGCAGTCTCGTTACCCTGAGGTAAAATTAAATTATTGATAATTGTGTCAGGTTTGTGGTCTCGATCTAACTTTCCTCACATTTTTCTGATGCTACATAGAAAAAAAAACCTAATTTAAAAAAAAAAAGAAGAAAAAAAAAGAGTTTTAACCGTAATTTAAAGATGCCAAAGTAAGTTAGTGGGCTGCATTTCTAGTGTGCTCTGTTGGCTGCAGTCTGTATTTCTGTTTTGAGTATTTGTTCCTGAAGCTCTCTCCTGTCTAACCGTCCTGTGAGTGTCAGATCCACAGTGGCGCTACTTTCTGGTTTTGTACAAAATACTGTTGTCGTGGTTTTATTATATACATGCATTAAGTTTTGTTGGCATTGGATGGACCTTTTTTATCTTTTGGATTAAAGTTGAAAATGATGACCCAAGAGAGCCTCTCGTGAATTCTAATGCTGTAAGAGGTTTGTAGTGTCTTCAACATCTTCAACAAATCCCTCGCACAGGCGACTGTCCCACTCTGCCTGAAGTCCTCCACCATAGTCCCCTTGCCTAAGAAGCCCCACATCACCGGCCTGAATGACTACAGACCGGTGGCACTCACCCCAGTGGTAATGAAATGCTTTGAGAAGCTGGTCCGCAGACACATCACAGCAGCCCTGCCCTGCAGCCTGGATCCACACCAGTTTGCCTACAGAGCAAACCGGTCCACGGAAGACGCTGTAGCCACAGCACTCCATGCTGCATTAACTCACCTGGAAGAGCATGGTAGCTATGTGCAGATGCTCTTCGTGGATTACTGCTCAGCTTTTAACACCATCCTTCCACACAAACTGGTGGCCAAGCTACAAGACCTGGGGCTTCCATACAGCACCTGCATGTGGATCAACAGCTTCCTCTCGGGCCGTAGACAGAGAGTCAGAGTTGGCCATCACACATCCTCAGCCCTGAGTCTCAGCACTGGCTCACCCCAGGGCTGTGTGCTCAGTCCACTGCTCTACTCTCTCTACACACACGACTGCACTCCTCGCCACCACAGCAACATCTTTGTGAAATTTGCAGATGACACCACAGTGGTGGGGCTCATTACCAAGGGAGACGAGTCTACGTACAGAGACGAGGTGGAGCAGCTGACGTCATGGTGTAAGGCCAATAACCTCCTCCTCAACACTTCAAAAACCAAAGAACTCATAATAGATTTCAGAAGGAAAAAGGCAGAGATCCAACCACTATTCATAAATGGGGACTGTGTAGAAAGGGTGGCAAGCTTCCGCTTCCTGGGAGTCAATATAGAGGAGAACCTTTCCTGGAGTGTGAACACCTCCGAGCTGCTGAAAAAGGCCCAACAGAGACTGTACTTCCTGAGAATTCTCAGGAGGAATAACATCACACAGAAACTGCTGGTGTCCTTCTACAGAGCCACCATTGAGAGTGTTCTAACTTACTGCATATGTATTTGGTACACTAGCTGCACAGGGGCTCAGAGGAAAGCACTCCAAGGGATCATTAACACCGCCCAAAAGATCACTGGCTGCCCTCTCCCCACACTGGAAGTTCTACACAATGCCCACTGTTTTAAAAAAGACCCAAAACATCATAAAAGACACCTCACATCCTGGCCACTCCCTGTTCGAACTGTTGCCCTCAGGCAGACGGTACAGGGCAATCAGAGCAAGGACTAATAGACTCAAACACAGCTGTTATCCAACTGCAATAACACATCTGAATACTACAAAAAAAATGTCCATCACGCCACTCTTGTGTTAATCTATGCACGGCCTGAAGCATGTGTGTGGGAATGTATGTGAATGTTTTACTGTTACATCTTATTAGTATTTTAAGTATTCTATCTATTTTATTTATTGAATTTTATTGTTTTATTTATATTTTGATATTGCTAGGGATGATGCAATGATCGGGGACCATTCTTCATTTCGTTGTTCTCGTGACAATGACAATAAAGTTTCTGATTCTGATTCAGGTTTTTGAAGTCAAACCAGGTAGACAGCTGCTGACGTTTACATTTAATCCTCTGTGATAACGTGACACTGAACTCCAGGACGTGTCCGTTTGTGCTTCTATAGATGCTGACATAACACAACTTGTCCCACAGTATACCCTCAGCTCTTAACTGGTTATTTTCATCTTTTTTATCCTCACTGAGAAAGCTGAGAGCAAGATCAAAGCCTGTGTCAGAGTAGTTCCACCACTTTCCAGACCCGGAGCTATAATCCTCTTTTGACTTATTTCATCTTTGTGTCAACAGAACAGCGATCCTAAAAGCTTCTTTACTTTTACAAATAAAACTACAAATTTGTCACATTTTAGATTTTAGTTGTCAGAGTTGTCTCACTCCATTTGAGCCTCTGACATCTGACAGTCTATATCAGGGTAGTAGTAGTAGTACTGTCAGAGTACTCATTGTTGCATATGAGGATAAACATCCCAGATAATTTCTTTTTTCCAGGAAATTTTTCCTTTACAACATAGATTTTCAATTATTTTCATAAAATTTTTATATTTTTTTCAGTAATGTAGATACAAATAAATAGAAAAAAGTGTTTTAAGTTCCATTTTGATGTATGAAGATAAAAAAATAAATAAAAAGTGCAGTTTATTATTAATTTTATGCAACAGGATGTTTCCTACTTTACCGTGGCTGGCATCTTCTGGAGGGGAAAACAGGGACTCGATACTTTTTATTCAGTCTGCCACTTTTTCCAGAAAAGTAGGATAAATCTGGAGTTCTTTGTGAAGTCGGCTGTTTGGTTTATGTAATCCGTAGTTACAGGCAGTCTTTGTGAACCTGGACCCTGGTGTCTCTTCAGACGCCTCTAACAGTAAAACGTGGTTGATGTACTTGTGTGAATCGTCTAATATTTTTCTATGCACACCTTTAAGATTTTTGCTGATGTCAGTTAACAAGGGTACGAGTTACCTTCTGTGTTTTTATTAAAGCGGGTTTCCTTTAGAAAAGGCTGACTTTACTTTTGTGTCTGGCAGGTGAAGAAGTTGACAAGGTACCTGGATCCTAACGCTCATGGGAAAATCAACTTCAAAGACTTTTGCCACGGAGTGTTTGCTATCAAAGGTGAGACATGGACTTTGATTGTCCTGCTCTCTGTCATGAGAAGATGTGTGAGCTTTGTAACCTTGTCACATTTAGTTAAAGCTCGGTAAACTGTTTTCTACTATTTAGTTTTCTTGCTAAGCTAAGACAAACATCTGCTGACCTCACACTTGTGTTGTTTATACAGACATCATAGTGTTGTCAGCACTTTCATGTAACTGTCAGAATGGAAACAATCTGCTCCATACTCTTCTTCTAATGCTACATGGCCCATTTTACCTTGAAAATGACAAAAAGAGTTTGGATATTATAAAATGAAACATGTAAACATTGAAGATGATACCACTTTATTCACGTAGCTCAAATTACAACAAATATTCTTACTGGTTTTATTACAGAGGAAACATCTGCTTATGTTATTTCCCCTCTTATTATTTACTTTCCTCCCCACACTTGTCCTCCTAGGTTGTGAAGAAATAATGAAGATGACCGTGGGTCCTCGCAGCCATGCCTCCAGCCAGCCATCTGTCACAGACAATGGCTATATATACCAGGTGATTGGATCTTCAATGGTGCACATAATTCTGTGGCATGATGTAAAAACACACCCTGAAACGTCTCCGTTAATACTGCAAATTATTTTAAAGACACTTTTTAAAGTTTTTGTAAACTCAGATGTCAGAGTGAAAGTGGACATTGTTTACATGGAGTGAAACAGCAATAATTCAGCAGTGAAGCTAAGATCATCGATAACTGTTCATTTAGAACAGTGTTTCTCAAGGTTTCGATTTATATTCATGATAAATGAAAATCACGAGGCACTGATTTCTTACCTAAACACCAGAGTTTAAGTGTCAAAAATATGATATAGTGACTGACTTTTCAGAAACAATTTTTTTTATATAAACCTGTACTGTACTACTGGGCTTCCATACAGCTCTGATGATGCTGCTGGTTCCTAGCATGTGTACTACCTTAAATATATCTCAATTATTTTTGTATCATAAATTTACTGTGTGAAATATATGTTGCTGTGCGTGGCTGATTATGTCCCTCATAGAGATTAGCCTAACTGGATCGTTGCTTAGCAACAAGAGGATGAGCGAGACAAGAGCGAGACGGAGAGCGAGAGAGAGCGAGAGAGCCGAGGTGTGGTTTTGTCCCAGCTAAAGCTTCGCTGTGCTTTCTACATTACTGCTGGAGCTGCAGTCGTATTTATTTGTGTCTAAGCTCTGAGGACACTGAGCCTTCAGGCATTGGGAATACAGTAGATTTTTGTTTTTAGCTCCACCACAGCAGATGCATTCACACGTACACACTCATTAGTGTGATTTGTGACTTTGTATTGGAGATGAGTGAGATGGTGTCCACACTTATTTGGTAAGTTGCACGAATGTGTCAGACTAACTGATTTCTAACTTTTTGAAAGAGAAGATTAGTCCAATAAAGGAAAAGCACACAGACTGGCACAAAGCTTAAAGTTGTTTTTCATTTTATGTGGCGTTTCTGTGTGTGGATGAATTGGGACATATTATGTTATTTTGTGTGTGTATATATATAAATATATATACATATGCTCCCACACCCCTTCATCACAGACAAAAATGTGTTTAATTAATGAGTGAAAGGTGGGTAGCAGTCCCTCAGATGCCATATTATGTCTGTCTTGTGTCTTTATATGTGAACATCCACAATCCAGCAGAATCCTAAGTAAGAACAGAGTATGGAGCCACTGCTTTTACTGGTAATGATGAGAAACTTGACTTTGTGTGTGTGAAAGAGCGCTTGGGTGTGACCTTGTCATGGTACTACAGTGGGGTTAAGCCAGACAGCAGCATGATTTATTAATAATATACTATCTGGGGCACGCTAACTCCCACATGACACTACCTCAAATACAACTTCATCATATTCTGTTCAAATCATGAGAGCAGGTCAGAATACCAGCTGTACTGCTGTTTCTCTCTTAAAGCCGTCGCTTTGTGTCGCTGATTTAAACTCCCCTCTTTGCTTTAGTGATTTCTGGGGAAAATGTTTGGCTCACACCTAAAGCTAACCTTAATGCTAATCACAAAGGTCCAAACATTGGATATTGTTAGTAATATCCAATGTTTGGACAATTAAAGTCATCTTAAATATCTTGAGATCAAACTTAAACATCTGAAATTCTTTGAGTTTGTACGTCTCATACAGTTAGTATGTGATGGGGTATTGAAACAACAGTAGATTACAAGCAGAAACATTTTTAAATTTCTATTTAAACTGTGGTTTAACCCTTAAAACTTCATTGTTTGATTAAATCTGCTAAAATAAGCACAGGAAGGCAAGACTGATTTCTCTAAATAGCCTTTTAATAAATGTAGGCTGACATTCCTGGATCTTATTGCTGGATACGTCTAAATGCAGTGGGATTCTTTCTAGTTTGAGGTCATCTTTGTATTAGGTTTCTTTTATTGATAGTATTTAGTTTTCTGTTTGTGTTGTTGCTGTTAATTCCTTTGTAATTTAAGTCTTGTCATTTTTGCCTTAATTTTTAGTTACTGGTGACCCTGAGCTTATTTTGGCTCCTCGTGGCTTATATCTAGTTGTCTTTCCCTTTCGTTACTTTATTGTGTGTGTATTTTGGCCTGTTTTCTTCCTTTAGCTACTTCCTGCCTTTACTTTGAAAGATTCAGTTTTCCTGCCTCTCTTATTACCTGATTATTCTCAGCTGTGTTTTGTTCCCCAGCTGTTTTCATCGCCCCTCTTCACCTTTTGTGTTTTTACACACAGTGGTTCATGACAGTTTCCTTGTAAGCAAGATTATGATCTTTGCATTTTTTATTTGAAATGTATATTTCTAAGAACTATATATTAAGATGCTGATGATCCGTTGTTCAGTGTAATCAGTGACTAGGCACTGTATCGGACTTGTATCTCATGCATGATTTTAGCTGTTCTTTGAATAACTGTTTACATGTGATTTTAGTAAACATCTCTGTGTGATGATGTGATTTTGAACTCAAGGGTTTCTGCTTTGAAATTGAAAAAAAAAAGTAAAGTTAACTTATAATTCAATTTGTCCTGTTGAAGCGATGCCTTGTGTCTAATGTGACTGTTACTTCTATTTCTGAAGTCCTGTAAAGTTCGATTTTTAATCCTAATTCACATAATTTTTCTTGTATGTTCAGAATGGTGAGGCAAAGCTTGGTCCTCCAATTATCATGTGTACACGGTCCTACCAGGAAAGCACGTGTGCTGATGGCGAGTGCGACATGGACAGCAGCACTGAAAATGGCAACAGCTCTGACTCACTTCACCCAACACGGCAACGCAGGTCAGTCATAACCAGTCTGAGTTGGGACTTTAGGAAGACTTAGAATTTCTTTTGATTGTGGGTTTGTTTTTTTCCCCTTTAATTGTTTTGTTTTGGAATGCAACCCTAGCCGCCTGATTGGCTCAGCGTCTGCGCCCGTCATCTCTAGAGAGGAGCAGTTTGAAGACTACGGTGAAGGGGAGGATGTAGATTTTACTCCCAGCAGCCCTTGCCCTGAAGAAGAAACACGAACAAATGGTTTCTCAGATCTTGGATCCTCGCTTCCCTCCAGGTTGGTGTCTGATGAGAAGGAAGCACTCCCTTAATCGTATGCACACGCAGAATTACATACAAACATATCTTAAGACCCAGTTTTCATGCAGAAAAAGACAAATCAGACTTTTTGGCTGTTTGCTTGTCCTAAAGAGAAAAGCACAGGGCTGTTAACAATGGGCCTGTTTGATTTGAATGCAGTGCATTGTTTTAGACAGTACTGCAAGTTTTCTGAACCATGGCTTGAAAAAGTAGAGCAGGGGTGTCAAACTCAAATACACAGTGGGCCAAAGTTCAAAACTGGAACAAAGTCGCGGGCTAACGTTAATATTTATTGAAATATATTTATTCCTCCAGATTTAAGAAGGAATCTTTTCTTATGGACACGTTTTGCTGAAAAACTGAATATGGAACAAGCAAAGCTTAATACTAAACAATATATATATATTAGCTGTATAATACCAGTAGGCCAGCTCTGATAGTATTTTTGGTATGGCTTCACGGGCCAAATGTAATTAGGCTGCGGGCCAAATTTGGCCCGCGGGCCAGAGTTTGACACCTATGAAGTAGAGACTGGAAGACATTTCATTGACGCATGCCAATGTGCTCTGCAGACATTGCAAATATCTATAGCTAACAGCAAGAAGCTGACTTTCACTTTTTCAGACATGCTTATTTATATTTGATTATATATGTGGACATTAATCAATTCATTCTTTATAATTCCAGTGCTGGCCACACCCCTCAAAAGATGCGGCAGCTGTATAACAGTGAGCTGCTGGACATCTACTGTTCGCAGTGCTGCAAGAAAGTGAATCTACTCAATGACTTGGAGGCTCGACTGAGAAACCTCAAGGCCAACAGGTGGAGCACACATTCACTGATGTTCATTTCTGGGAGTGACCTGGAACTGTCTTCATCCTAAGACTGAATGAATTTCAGATTTTTAAAAAAGAAAAAATGGGGTGTGTTCATCATTGGGGTATCACACTACTCAGCCTTGAGCCCCGGGTCCAAGAGGACCAACGTGGCTACCATGCTAACCGTGGAACACCTGATTACCCTTTCAAGACAGGGAAGCACTTCCGAGTATGAGGCCTTCATTTTCAGTGAGAAAACGGTGGATTCGACCCTCTGGGTTTAGATAGAGATGTTTCAAGTACGCTGCAGTCTTGTTCGTAAGACTGATGGTGTAGCATCAGTGCTAATGCAGGCAGGGAGGAGAGAGCTTAGCCTAAAAGATCAAGCTTTAATTTACCAGTCAGTATAGCACATTTGTACAGTTATCTATTTTTTGGAGCTATTGGTAATGGTAATGACTCTTGCTGCCTCAGCATCGCCCTAATGTCACAAAGCTTGGATTAGCTGTCTTAGCCATCCAGCTAAATCCCCTCTTATTCATTCTTGGCATCAGATGCTGCATCCACATCAAAGGGTGAGCTCGAGTTGTTGCTATAGCAACTGTATCCCAATGTGGCGGGATGACTGGTTGTGAGTTTTTGTGTCTTGTGTGCGAACAGCAATACAGCTGAAACAAGAACACTGACTGTGGTTAAAACTGTATCGTACGGCAACCACAGAAGAACATTGTTTGAAACCACTGTGTGAATGAAAGCAGAGGTGTCATTGCACTAATTTTACTACCAGCAAATAGAGTTGTAGCAAAGGCTTTTGGATTATTAAAATGGATAGTTGAAGCCTGTGTTACTGTCAGTATGTGTGACTCGGTTCCTCTCCTGTTTTTTCAGTCCTAACAGGAAGATTTCCAGCACAGCATTTGGACGGTGAGTGACCTGACGTTCTTACAAAGCACCTTTTTAAATTCTTGCTGCTCTAAATCATATCATAAACTGTTGCTTAGTTTTGGCATCTTTCTCGTTACAATATAAAAAATGCAGCCACTGAAGAACATGGTGGTAGTAGACACTAATGCAAAGCATATACGGGATTTACATGTTTATGCAGTGTAAATATGATGTCTCCTGTTTCTCGGGTGTTTTCTCTCTCCCTGCAGTCAGCTGTTCCAGGCCAATCACAGCGTGTTTGGGTCCAGTCAGGGCAGCAGCACAGAGGATCTGTTCACAGACAGTATCGACTCCTGTGACCTTGACATCACAGAGAAAGTAAACACATAATAATCTTCACCTGCTGGATGATCCTCTAGCTCATAGCACATCTCCAGAGCAGAACAAGGACTACTGTCACAAACTAAGAGTCTAACTGGTGAAGCAGCAGCCTCGTTTAGCTAATGAAAAATAAAAACAATGCTGAAATAAATTGAAGTCTGTGAGGTGGGGAAAATAGTGTTAGTGTGTAGGAGGATGGATCAATTTAAAACGGGTGATTAATTTCCTGTTAACAACGAGCTGTGTAGAGGCATACTGGGAATGTCTGTATGCAAATGAAGAAGATGCTCTTTAACCTTTAGGCCTTACCTGTGTGATGTGTCACTCAGGTCAGCTACCTGGAGAAAAAGGTGACCGAACTGGAAAGTGACAGTCTGGCCAACAATGACCTCAAGTCTAAACTCAAGCATGACAACACCCACCTTGTGCACAGGTAAGAATACTTGAGCTGAGTGGGTGCTTTGGCTGGGTTTGGTTCCTGTACAAAAAGGCGTGGTGTTTATTTTCACACAAATAACATTAATTGCACCTGTTTGATCATTCTTTACAAGTGGTGCAGATATGAGATATATGTGATGTGAATTAGTCCATAGATCTTATATAAACCTGTGCAGCATTTTGGTTCTAGCTAACTAGTCTGTACCAGTCTGAATGACCTCTGTGTTTTTGCTTCCAAGGGTTCATGAGCTAGAGGAGCAGGTGAAGGATGCAGAGACAAAGTCTGCAGAGAGTCTCAAAGAAGAGGTGAAGAAACACCGGGAGGCTTACACCAAGATGGAGAGAGATAGAAACACAGAGATAGAGCTGCTCTGTAACAGGTAAACTAACCAGCAATTTACCTGAAGGGAAGTTTCCCCCATAATCCAACTCCTAAACAGGCTGGTGCTAGATTTGGCTCTGATACAAGATCAACTACACATCTGCTGTTAAGGCAGGCATTCTGTAACCATAAACTACCACAGACACTGATTGGCTGTAGGTCTCATGAAATGAAACTGCTGTTACCCTTGTTACCCTGCCGTTGCCTGCTATTAAGACAGGAAATAAGGAAATGTGCAGCGCAAATTTACAAGCTGCTGTGCTGATCAAAGACGGTCAGCGTTCTGGCACTTTAAAAACACCAAGCCTTACTCATGTCTTTTAACCTCCTAGGGCCTGGCGTCCATATATGTGGACATCACATTTTGGGTTGTCTAGACAAAAATACTAAATTGTGCTCTACAAGGGCCTGATATCCGCTTACAGGGACATTATACTGCCACTTCTATCAACATTTACAACAAATGTCCTCATTTTAGGATCTCATTTATCTCAGAAACAAAAATCTGGTAAAAAACAATACAAAACAGGTAATTCTTTTTATATTCATCAGGTCCCAATCAGCCCAAATAGCAAAGAGAAATTGAAAATGCATGCCATGAAAGAGTTCAGGTCTTAGGAGGTTAAAGTTCACTGGGGTACCTGTGATACCAAACTAAAGCTGTTTGCGTTTGTTCACCCTAAGGTTACAGCAGTTAGAAGAAGAGAATACAGAGATGAAGTTGAATGTGTGCAGACTCAAGTCTCAGACTGAAAAAATGGATCAGGTATGCTGAAGTATCTTCCTGTGTCATCATGATGTAATCCTTTTTATATAAACTTCATGAGTAGTTTCACCCTGACAAGCTTTTTTCTTTTAGTTTGTCTGTACTCATCTTGGTTGCTGCTAGGTTTCCATATCTCAAATGTTGCGAATTTTCCTACATATATCATAAAAACATGAGTGTTTCTTTTTCTCAGCCACTGTTTCCTGACTTGTGTATTTTGCAGGAGAAGCAGAGGGTGACAGACAAACTGGAGGACACTAGTTTGAGGCTGAAAGATGAGATGGACCTGTACAGGAAGATAATGGACAAGCTCTGGCAAAACCGCCACGAGTTTCAGAAGGAAAAAGAGTCCATGCAGGAGGTGAGACACTCCTCCCAGGCAATCATTTCTATGAAAATAACTTCATTTCCCGCTGTAGTCACCAGGTAAGATAAGAAAAGGTTAATGTGGAACATGTTAGAGTTGTTTGACCGACTGTTTTGTCTGCAGCTGATTGATGATCTCCGTCGGGAGCTCGAGTATCTGCAGTTGTTTAAACTGGAGATGGAACATCCTGGGAAAGGCAAGGGGCTGTCTGAGTTTAACGCCAAAACCAGGGAGATGGAAATGGAACATGAAGTGAAGAGACTGAAACAGGTCCACACAGAACACACTCATCCTTGTTCTTTCTCTTTCTCTTCTACTTTTAATTCCACAATGGTCAGATTTGTGTCATTTCATTTATTTCTATTTAATCCACACAAAAAATAAATTCTTGAAACATGCATATATCCAAACAAGGAGCTGCTTGTTAATGTGTATTGGGAAGTAGCATACTGAAGTAGAACTCCCAAACCTGTGTTGATACACTGATGGATCGCTCAGTCCTGCTAACTTTACTTTGCTGTGTAAAAGTCCCATTCTGACCACCTGTAACGTGCGCTCCATTTCGTAACTGCTCTCACATCAATTTCGGTTTATGTTTATGTTGAGCTGCAGAGAGGCCAAATATTAGTCTTTAGTTGTAAAGTCCACAGCAAGCCCAAAGGCGCTTTGTCAGGTCAGAAATGCTCTCTGTTGTGTCCTTGTCTGTTTTTCTCTTCCCAACAGTCACAGGGTAATCTCCAGTGTTGGGCAAGTTACTTTGAAAAAGTAATTAGTTGCAGTTACTTTTTTGAAGAAGTAACTAGTAACTTAGTTTACAATATTATAAAAGTAACTAATTACTAGGAAAAGTAACTATTGCGTTATGGTTAACCCTCTGGGGTCCAGGGTGGCTGTTTTTGACTACTTTTGATTTTACCGCTTTAAAAGGTGTTTACCTCGCCTTGTTTGGTATCGTTCTTTTCAGCACAACCTCACATGTCTGAATTTACAGTTTGTTTGTTTTTTCATTTTGAAATACTGCATTAGCACAATTGATCCGAAATCAGACAAAAAACAGAGTAGAAAAAAGTTGCTTTTTTTTACTGTAGCAACCGCAAACGAATCATTTTCATAATTTGAAATGCAAATATACATTGTAAACTTTACAAATCTATGCACAAGTTTTGCAAACCACAAAGTTGTATGCAGCTATTTACCTTAAAAAAATTTTACCATTTCAAACTATTTACAGAACAATCAGGTGTTCTACATCAATCTAGATGCCACACAAACTATTTGTGCAAAAATAATTTCTGTCCACCATGAGATAAAGGAGAACATCACAGGCCTGATACCTGCAGGCCTGACAACAGGAGGTGTATCACTCGTCCTGTTTTCTACCTGGAGACAGCGTTTATACTGTTATCTGCCTTTGGTGGCTTTATGGCAGCAACTCACTGTTCTGACACACACAACAAAACTATCCACTACACTACACACTAACTGGGATTTGCTATGTCATCTTAAATTGGTCATGTGATTGGTTTAACCATGACTACTCTATTCTTTCTCAGCCAATCAGCAGCACCTGTGCGATTGTTTCGCCCCATATCTCCCAGTAAGCTGAAGACAGCTTCAACAGTCTGTGTTGAAAAATAGTTACTGAAAAAAGTAACACCGTTACTTTTAACGCCATTATTCCCATCACTGGTAATGACCATTCATTTGGGCTACCCTGCATTTCCCTGTTAATACCCAGTTTTGCCAAACTGGCATTGGCCAGCGGTGGTTTCATACTTGATCAAATCATTAAAACAATATTTTCATGAAGTAAAAATCTTCCTTTCAACTCAGAAAAATTGAAGAGAAACCCAAGTGTATGTGATGTTTGGAGGGAGAGTGAGACATGCACCCACAGTCAATGGATATGGCTCGGTTATATTTGTGAGATTTTTCAAGCTCACTGCTTTCTCAAATTCACACACACATCGAGTCAGGACCGGGTCCTTTGTGTCTGTAGGAGAACCACAAGCTGCGCGATCAAAACGACGACCTGAACGCTCAGATTCTCAGTCTGAGCTTGTACGAGGCCAAGAACCTGTTCTCCTGTCAAACCAAGGCCCAGTGCCTGGCAGCTGAGATTGACAACGCTTCCAGAGATGAGGTTGGTCTGTTACTGTTGGTTGGATGAAATGGTTATTCTTGATATAACTGCGCTTGTAATGCATTCCTCTTCTCGCTCAGCTTGTGGATGCTTTGAAGGAGCAGGAGGAGATCAACCTGCGTCTGAGGCAGTACATGGACAAAATCATTTTGGCCATTCTCGACCACAATCCTTCCATCCTGGAGATCAAGAATTAAACACAATGCACATTTGTATTAGTGAAGCTGTGCTGATCTACCGTTACCTTTAGTCCGTAAAGTTGTAATCCATAACATTCCTGTCCTGGCTGAAGCTGATGGAGCTGCTTACGCTACAGACAAACACATTCGCATTGTTCACTCAGTGATGTTTTTTTTTTCACAGATATTGTGCACGTTTGGTCCCCCCTGTGAGATGTAAATCTTAAGCTGCAGTACAAAATGCAGGAAATGTTCTGTTGGTGGACATAAATATTTTTTCCTGCTGAACTGCAGCAAACAGTTCACATTAAAGCTTTCCTGCATTTCAGCATCAACTCTTTGGGTATCATTGCTTTTACTTGGAAGGTGACACTAACCCTGGATATTTAATCCCTTTAATGTGTGACCACTTTGAATCTGGTAACACATTTTAATGTGTGGATGTTACCACAAATTACTGATAATGCAATAAATGGGCAGTTTTTGGTTTGGGTACAATCAGAATCTGATGTCACTAAAAAGTTAAGGATTACAACTTTACATTGCAGCTAACATTCTGAATGTTTGACACTTGCACACAAATGTATGTACATTACCACAGCAGCTGGTCTCCACATCCACCCGAAGTAAACGCCTCTTTATAAGGAATCACTGTAGAGCAACTTTGCCATTTTAATCTTATCCACCGATGTTTATCACTGTATGTTTGAAAGTACATAAAAGAAAAGCATCTTTCCTGTATGTTATGTAATTTGGACAACTGTCTTTGACTCACAGGCACCAAGTGGAAAACAGATTTAAGAAGTGAAGCAAATAAAATGGGAAGGTGAACCGTTTCTGTAGTAAAATCAGAAACGAGTTGTTCTGTAGAGATTGTCGATAGCTACACAGTACATGAACACTGATGTAAGCCTTTCTGGTGACACTCAACTTTTCAGTTCTTGTGATCATTTGATTGCGTTTCTAACCCTTTAATTTAGCTGTTTGAACACAGCCGAATGTTTACATTGAACCATATGCTTTTATATCGGTTTTCAGTAGTAGTTCCAAATGTTAATGTCACTAACTACATGAAGCCTTTGCTTTCTGAAGACTTTTCACTATAGAGATATTTAAAGGTGCCAATGAACAGAATTATGTGCCAAATCATTTGTTTTCCACAAATAATCTAGTAGATGAAGAGCATCATACTGCAGAGCTGGATGGCTTACATGTACTTGTATATTAGCCAAATTAGCATGTGTATCTATGAATCCAGAACTGTAACATGCATTTATTAATAAATGTGTAGAAATGTGCGCACATCATAAAAACTGCAAGTCCAGATCGTGTCGTGCTGTTCTGATCTGAGCTTATTCCAAATTTTCTCACCAAACATGAAAATATTCAGGTTCAGGAAATTGTATTTAGCTTTGCAAGGAAATGAATACATGTGACACATGTGGTGAAGCTCGAGGATTTTAACAGTGTGAACTAATGATGTTCTTTGCATTGAATATAGATTACAAGAAAACTCTGTGGAGCACCTTTAAAATCAGGTTCTGCACTGTAGCCCAACTATGAAAGCACATAGCACGTGATATAGTAACACACTTGTTTCGTAGGCAAAGTTTATATACCTGGAACAATGATTTTAAAATAGGGTGTAAACATTCTTGTTCTGTCAAAATTCACATGTTCACATTGATTTCTTTTATTTTTGTACCACACATGGAGCAATGGGTGACTAGATGTGTAAATAAAATCCATTCGCTTAGCACCACAAAGTTGGTCCTGGTTGCTTATTCGTAGTCTTCTTGTCTTGTTACTGGGTACAAAGTAACAAATATGTTAATGCAGGTGTGATGTCATGTTGTACACAGAATGATAGGAATTCTGTCCAACCTCAGTTGGGACATACATACAGTCAATTTATGTTGGAGTTTCAATAGCAGAATCCCTTAAAAAATTGTATACATATTAAATGGGTTCTGTTTTCCTATTTAAACTATGAGGGATCAAAATTACTGGAAATTACTTGTAGGCCTGTAACTTGGACCATTTACATACGAAGGTAAAATTTAGTGTGGCTTTGTTGGTTTTAGTAAATAAGTTAATTACGTTAAATGAAATACTGTCATGTTTATTACTCAAAAAGATTCAAAGAAACACTTAAAAAGTATTTCTCATGTAATTATAAAACCAGTCCTCAAAAACTTGATATTTTGGCAGCTGTTGGGTCATTTCGTTCTCAAAACATTACACACACTGCATTATGGTAAAGATTTTCGTCAGCATCCGATGTGTAAATAAACTGCTCGCTTAGTCTTAAAACCATTGCAAAGAAAATATGAAGCTTTGGTTGAAATTTAGCGTCTATGCGTTCATTTCGCTGTCATACTCCGGTCCAGGAGGCGGCAGTAATGCTCCATACGCTTCAATATACCCGCCGCCAAAACGCTCATTTCACAGAAACAATATTTTTCTTTTCGGAAGAAGATCCCGACAAAGCGGCCCTGTTTCTTTTCAGCTTAAAAAAATAAAACATAGTCGAAAATCTGAAAACCGACGATGTACGCTCGGACAAATACCAGCAGCACACATGGAGACTTCCAAGATAGAAACGGGGTGAACTATGTTACATCGACAGAGTCTTTCGGCCACTGCTCTCAATTGTTCTGGAAAAAGGACCCCAACGACTCCGGAGTAAGAAAGCCAGCAGCTGCCATCACTGTTAGCTAGCGACCATGGGTAGAAATAGCTGCACCAAATAACTAGTGGAGCGACAATTTTACAGCTAAGCATTTAGAGCAGCCTCTCTGTTACACGTGGGTTTTGGTTGAGTGTCTGTGGGTGAGCTGAAGCTGCAGGCTGTGTCACAGAGCAGCTTCGTTAGCATTCGGCTAACGTCATGCTGAGCGGTTTCCGGCCTAGTTTGACTCATAGCTGCAGAGCTAAGTAGCTAATAACTCGTTCCTTTTGAATTTCGTTTCTGTTACAACTCCACAAACTGTTTGGCGAAATTGGACGTTTATGTCCACGCATGCTGTCATGGAAAGAGAAACACCAAGTGACTACCTGCTAGGAAAATAATGATGGAGCAGCTAAGCACCGCGGTTAAGCTAACTTCTCACAACACTGTCTCAGTCAAAGCCGAGTACGCTTAGCCAGCAGCAGTCTTTGCACATTACGACAAGACTGGAAAAACAGTTTAAATGTGTAGACTTCTACACGTTAACCTGTCTTTGGTGTAAGACGAAAACAAGCGTGCATTTCTGGGCAGTGGAACCAGTTTTACATGTATCAGGCCTACAATATTAGCGAGCAGCGCAAAGTAAACACGGCTGGCTACCTCGCAGGAAACGGGAGCGGAAGACGCCCCGCGGAGGACTGCACTTCATTCAGTCTCCGACAGATTATCAGCGACCACAACCACACTTTAATCTTTAGAATCGAAACATAATAGTCTGTGGGACGGCCTGCGGGGTATGAACCGTTGAGTTCACTGTAGCTCCCATAGCGTCCCGTAGCTTTTAGGTCCGAGGCATCTGTTGTGATTTGTGACTTGTGGAAGTCGTTCTGCGGTGTGCCACTCTGTATTCCTTCCCCTCTCTCCCTTAGTGTCCAACAGTGTAAAGTGGACACACCAGCATGATATTTGTCTCACAGTGTATACTCTTCCACAGAAGCTCCTTAGGAGTTGATATGTAAAAACAATAAAACGCTTGCTGGTGTGTTGTCACGTAGCATCTCAAACATGTAGTGCCAAATATGGAAGTTTAATGTTTACATTTCTGTGTTTGTCCTGATGTTTTAGTCACTCTGGGGGTGAAAAAACAAGTTGTCACACAAGCAGACAGTTCTGGTGTTCATCTCAGACTCTTACAACTAACGTAGTGAATTTTTTTGGGATGCACTAGCTGTAAGAATGGTCATAGTGATACTGAGCATTAAAATCATCATTTTGCTGCTGTAATGTGTGCGGGTTTTTTCTTTTTTCTTTAATTACCCCCTTTGTGGCAGGGGGCAAGGAAAACTTGATGTGGCACAACAGATAAACAGAGAGTCCCATTGATAGATGACATCTTATTTGGGGATACACATTAGAGGCTGATATTAGGCCTGTGTTTGAACTGTCAAAGCATCACAAGTGTTGATTTATCTAATTACTCCATTCTGCTGTATGCTTGGTGTCAGTCTAATGAATGACCTGAGGATTTTGAGTTGTTAGTGTCTCCACAGAATCTGTGTGTCTGTTTGGTTCTAGTGTTTCTAGGCCCACAGTGTAGTTCTACATGTGGTACTGCAGTAGTTTTTCAGAATTTACTCTCAACATACTGATTGAACTTATGTGAAGATACGTATGCGTGAAAGAGTAAAATTATATGTATTAAATACATAATAAGAGTCTTTAGCTGTCATTTAACGCAAATATAATTAAATGTTGTTTAAGTTTAATACATAGTAATAAATATTTAAGAAGGGCTGTACCCTTTATTTGAAGTGTTTAGATGTTCCCACTAGGTACTGAAGCTATGTCAGATCTGGGCTCTGATTGGCTGGAATTGTGTTCTAGCAATTTTCTTGTGTAAAGCTTTGTCTCAGAACTGTCTATCATCCCAGATATCCACATATCACACCAGGCAGCTGCATGTGCAGGTTTGTCAGGTGTTTCAAGTGGTCAGAAAGAGAGAGGAGGTCAATGCTGAATTAAATATCAAGACTATCCAGTGCTATGAACAAGTGTTATGATTGAATTTTTTGCATGATGAATTCATTTAAGGGAAGAAAACCTCGCCCTGTATAAGAAAGTAATTCACAGTCAATGGTTGCGCCTTGGTAGCAGTGACTGCAATCAAGCGTTTGCACTTATCGATGAGTCTTTTGCATTGCTGTTGAGGAATTTTTGCTCATTCTTCTTTAATGTATGAATGTAGTTAGTGTTAACATTTCCTTTAACGTTACCGTCACAGCCAAGTTCAACGATCAGCTGGTGCGATCAGCTTCCTTCATCCTCAGCAGCCCTCTCCACCTCCAGCCTCTCCTCAGCATCGCTCTCCAGCTCCAGCCTTTCCTCAGCGTCGCTCTCCAGCTCCAGGCTCTCTATGGAGTCCCAAGCACCAGCACCGGCGCCGCCACCAGCAACAACAGTGTCAGACGACATGGAATCAGACGAGAGGCCGTACGTCTGCGACCTGTGCAGCTGCGCCTACAAACACGCCAGCTCCCTGCTGAACCACAAACTCACCCACAAGACCGGAGACTTCAGGTTGGGACGTGAGGCTTGTTTGCGTAAATGCATGAAACATTCTGCTCCTTTCCTTGTTACTAATGTTCACGCCATTTTCAACTCCAAAACCCAGGTGCGACTTTTGCAGTAAGCCCTACACCAACTACATGTCCTTGCGCAACCACATGCGAATCCACGGTCAGAAGCGCTACATGTGCGACCTGTGTGGGAAGGCCTTTCGCCTGGCCCGGTACCTCCGTAACCATCAGAGGATCCACGACGATGGGCCCAACCGCTTTGACTGTCCCTCCTGCTGCAAGAGCTACAGAACCATGTTAGAGCTGGCTCAGCATCGCTGCAGCGCTGCTGCGTCCAACCAGGTAGGTCTGTGTTTCTGATGATAGCGTGGGCTTAACTGATGTGACTAACACTGTAGTTCTCTCGAAGCCGTTTTTTGTGTTGTATTTGAAAGAAATGTAAAATGCAGCTGCGTTTAAATGTGACTTGTTTTGCTACAAAAACACATCCCACTGATGAGTGTGTCTATTCTATAGCGTGATCTAAAAGAAAAAGGCTCGGTGTTTTCCTGAAACACCTGGGTATCGTAGTTGTTAAACTTTACTCACAGGAGGAAATGTAGTTCGTTAGGGATTATTTTCAGTGGTAAAGTAATTACACAAGTAGAGTAATATAGAATATCATTAAAGGGAAGTCTGCTTTCTCTTTTTTCCTAGCATGAATTAATGAATACACAGACTGGTTACAAATTTACCCTTTGACCCTTGTGTTGATGTGTTGTGGGAGTTGTGCATTTTGGGTCCATTTGTCCTCTTAACTATAAGGCAGCGGTCCCCAACCTTTTTTGGAACACAGACCCGTTTATGTCTGACAATATTTTCACGAACCGGCCTTTAAGATGTCGTGGATGAATACAACAAAATAAAACCAGTACCAAAAAAGAAGAAGATTTATTCATAACACACGGGAAAAGCCCCAGGGAACCGAGTTAACGATAAAAACTATAACAAAATAACGATAAAAACGGTAAAACACCCTGAAAACCATACATTTCCCACTCGATCCTCAACTCATGGTACCAAATGAATTATGGACCGGTACCGGTCCACGGCCCAGGGGTTGGGGACCACTGCTATAAGGGACACTGCACATCAATACAAAGCTGTTCTGTGTGATCACCTTCATGATAAAATGCTATACCATCATCAGAGAAACTAACAGTTATTACAGCTTAGCTTTTAGTTGGTCATAAAGTAAGTTTACCAGCATAAGAGTGAAAAAGCCAGACCCTGCTAGCTCAATGCACTGATGTAATGTGAGCTCCATGTAAGCCAACCTTATTGTATCTGCTGGGCCCTCTGTTACAAACTCCCAGCTTTACTATGCACATAAAATACACATTAGTAAACCAACTGTTCCCAGTAACTAGTTTGTGGAATAACATCGCACTCATTAGCTAACCTCTTAAAGAGTAATCTTGCAACTTAGTGTCGTGCCTCACGTCATCGATTAAAAGACTCAAATGATGAAGCAGCAGCA